CCCCAAAACCCCAAAACCCCAAAACCCCAAAACCCCTCGATGCTAATATATAATAGAAAAGTCTAAAATGCCAGTGTAAGTTATAAACTTTTAATAGGGATCATTTATCGTCGAACGACATCGATGGAATAAGCCCGTGTGCTCTTTTCACCACTCACTTTGGCCACCAAAACATCAAGTTAAAAAAATATTAAAAGCCAAGCAAGCATTTTATGGGTAGATTTTCTTTGGGCTTTTTATTTAAAAACATTTACATATCACTCTGATAAAACACTCTGAATTGCCAGAGAGGCTTCAATAGTATAAATTGAAAATATAGCATTCTGCTGATGAGTAAATCCATGTGAGTAAATATTTTAAATGTAAACACTTGGGATTGCTAGCTTAATCCTAAATAAAAATAATTGTGATGCTTGTAAAGTTTATGCCTCGCACGATGAAAAGTCACCGATTCTGACAAGCAAGCCATGCTCTCATCTATTCGAGATGAAAAATTACTTTCGGATATGGAGTTTTGGATGAATGATAATAAACTGATAGCTTTATTTTTGCTACCATTAATTTGATAAATTATTTCATGGAATGGTTTAATCATAGGCAATATTGCCAAATGAAACCTCTTTGATTGTAGAAGCATCGTACTTTCTGTTCAGGTTTAATAATGGTTATATAGAGGCTGAAATGCATGTCAATATTGCTGACTCGAGAAAGAGGAAGTATGAGGTCACCAGTCAGAATGACCCACAACGAACTCTTTTCCTACTATGTTCATTATTTGTATTTTGGCAAGTATCATCGTTGCTTGCTTCTTATTATGCATGTTAGTCTATCACCTCTGAAAATATTGCTGCTTGAAGCGTCTCGCTCGAAAAGAAGATCAAGTCCAAAAAGATCTGGAGCATAAGTACCACGACCAACATAAAAATTATGGGATTGTTTATGGATTCCAAGTTGATTCAATACCTCTAAAGACAGCCCAGGTGCTTCACTGCAAGAGCTTTAGGTAGCGTAACTTTTATCCGGATGGCAGTCCCTTCATGAAACTACTGTGCTTCCCTAACCTATAATATAGCTACCAAGAACTAGACATATTTGAAAATTCGAAAAAGGCTGGAGATGAAGAGCTCAAGTCTCAAAATATGAAAGTATATAACTTCCGTAAAACTAAGAAGGGAAGTGGCCCAAACCACGAAACCTGAGATTCTGGCAGATCTTTTGCCATTGAGTAAGTCTTGCTTTCTTATGTAGCAATTTAACCAATTATTATCTAAATCTGAACATATTTAAACTGATTCTTTAGCCAACACTGAGACCAGCTCTTTATTGGTGAAGATTCTGATAATCTAGGAGTGGGAACATTCACAGAAAGGTTACCAGACTACAACGATTTTATGACCAACGAGAGTATTGGAAGATACAAATTGGGATAAATTTGAGCACCACTGAGTGAAATATTTGCTGAAATAAGTAATCTCCTTTTTTGAAAAATAAGAACTGTTCTCTAATTTATGAAAAATGATTTAATATTTAAACACATTTCAAGCTTAATTGCTCAGGAAGGGGTTTTGGGGTTTTGGGGTTTTGGGGTTTTGGGG